CACCCCTGGCGCCGCTTGCCCAACCGGCGGCTCTTGCACCTGTACCACCGCGGGTATCGCTCCCGCGCCTGTTGTTCCCGCTTGGTCTTCAGCAGCTTGCGCTGCCTGTGCTTCGGCCTCGGCTATTGACTCAGCCATTGACTCCTCGGCCGCCTGCTCCATCTCCCGCTGGAGCCGCATGTCTTCCTTTCTGTGGCGCTCTTCCAAGGCCACGATCTCGTTTCGCAGGAGCTCCCGCACTGCCATAGGTCCCACCGTGCGCAGCGCCGTTTGAACCAAGTCGGCCGCTGCCTGGTGCTCCGCATGGATCCGCTGCTCCTCCTTCTTCATGAACAAATCAAGCAGCGGATCTTCACTGCCCGTCCGGAGCCGCTGGGATCCCGCGAAGAAGTACTCATCACTGTCTGAGTCGTCACCGGTCAAGTCCACGACCTCTTTGGCCTTCTTCCGTTGGTCGTCGGCCATGCCGTCAAATTCAAGAATGCCACCCACTATGCGTAAAGTTGACGATCGCCAGTTGGCAACGTCCAACGGCCATCAACCACGCGCCAGTTGATTTGCATCTTCCCATATTCTCGTTTGAGTGTGGGAGGGTGTCACAGTTCCGGATACAAGATCCGGATCCACGTGGCTGTACCACGGCACACATGTTGAAGACAAAGCCAGACCCAAACCCACGAGCGGCCAACGACGCCGCTACGTGCCAAGGAAACAGCAAAGGGTTCGCCGCCCCTTTGCTTCGGACCACCCCCGGCCCTTTATGTTTACCAGCTCAAGATGGCTGGTCCTGCTTAGCTTAGTCATAGCGTTAGATTGTTATAACGCTATCAATTCACTTCTCATTTTACCATCTACTGCGCCTTCCTCTGCGCACGCACGTTTACAATGATGGTGCTGGTGATCAGTACGTGGGGCGGGTTGTTGCTGGTCTACCTCTTGAATCTGGCAATTTTGCAATGCTACCACCTCATTTCGTTGCTGGAAGCGATGATGCCGTTGCTTTGGTTGGCGCTCTTGTTTTTCCGCGGTTTGGCTTCACCCCGAGATTCGTGGTGTCTTGGCGTAGTGTTTGGAGTCACTGGTGTACCATAAGTCGTTTCTGGAGTCCGTCCTTCCCGCCAAGCTCCAACTCCTCTCATCGGTGTTAATTGGCGATAATAGCATGACCAGTGATCTCCTAGACAGAGTCACGCAGTTGTCGCCCTTGTTGCAACCAATCGGTTTCCCACCACATGTCGGGATTCACTCCCAGCTCGTAGAGACCATGGCTTCAGTGCTAGCTGTTAGCCATAGGCAGACAAGGATTGAAGTTACATAGTAAAAGCTATATATATGTGATTGAAGCTGGAAGAGCTCCAGGCTTCACATCCCTCGACTACTTCAGTGTGTCGAGGGCCAATAGCTATCTTGTTTTGATCCTACACACACTACTTGAAGGTTGCATATATTGAGAGATATGACAAACTTCAA